CAGGCCGGCTCGCGAGCGGCGGTTCCCGTCGGGGTCCCGGCTCGCGGCGGCCTGGAGGGGCCCGGGCAGGCCGCGGCGGGCTGCTCAGGCCTGTCGGGCTCCCTTCACGCGGCGCGGGGCGGGCGCGGGGGCCGCGGCGGCGGCGGCGTTCCACTCGGGCCGGCGGGAGAGGCCATCGGAGGGGGCGGGCGGCAGGGCCGAGGGGGCGGGCCCAGGCGCCGCGCAGCCCGGGACCCGCGGGAGGGCCGCCGCCGTGCGCCCGGCCCTCGGTCACGCTCGCGCCGCTCGCTCCGCGTTCCTGCAGCGGCGGCGGCGGCGGCGAAAAGACACTCTCGGCGGCGACAGGGCGCGGGGGAAGGAGGGGGCGCCGCCGCCTCCGCTCCAATGAGGGGCGGGGAGGGAGCGGGGCGGGGGCTGGCGGGGAGGAAGCGCGGCCGCCCTTGCCGGGGCCGGAACGCCAGTGCGCACGCGCGGCCGATTTCAAATCCTCACTAGACACCGCCGCCTTGGTTACCGCGCCTGCGTACTGGGGTTCTCCTCGGCGAGGGCCGGGGGGGGACCGGGGGGGCGCGGGGGGCACCGCGACGGAAGGATACGCGACAGGGAGGGGCTGGAGGGGGGCGGCGACGGCGGCGGTTTCGTGGGCCTTTCTAGACCAAACTGGGCTGCTGTGGGGCACGGAGAAGCCGCGAGGCGGCGCGCAGTCCTCGGCCCGGCAGCGGCCGACAGCCCTACCTCCCTCCGCCGCGCAAGGCTGAGGCGTGGAGACATGCGCGCTGGCCCTGGGGTACCGGCAGCCGCCTAGCCGCGCCGCGCGTGCGCAGGGACGGGAGGCCGGCGCTGCCGGTGGACGTTCCGCACCCCGGTGCGGGGTCCTCGCCCTCCGCTGGCCGACCTTCCAGACCTGCGTAGGGAACTGACAGGCCCCACTGCGGTCCCGTCGCTGCCCCAGGGAAAGGACAGAGATGCCCGAAGACCCCTCCCGTCCATCAGGGTCCTGCGTGCCGCCGTTCACGCTGCGGTCCCTCGTGTCGGCGCCCTCACAAGTGCTCGCCGGCGTCCTCCCGGAGGAGCAGGTCTCACGCTGCGCCCGGCCGGCACTGGCCCCTGAGCGGCTGCCAGGAGCGGGGCCCAGGGGTGCCCTGGCAGAGCCCTAATCTGCCTGTTTCCCAACAGGCTTTTTTAGTTTCATTTAAAAATGACTTTCTATGCAGAAACGGCTGTTAAAACTTTCAGCTTAGCTCACTGGAGCGATTTCCCGAGGCAAGCTTGGCAGTGCTGCCCATCAGAGAAACAGCCCGTGTACGTGTGTGTCGGACGCGTGGCCTTGGCTGTTCGAGCTGGCACAGGTTCGCAGGATGCATTGGAGAATTGCCCAGCTGTCTGCTCTTTGAGTTCCCCGTGTCCAGAGGATGCTCTGAGCCGGGTCTGACAATAGTATTGTTTGGAATGCAAAGCTAACCACGCAGTCTGTGAGATCCAAAGCAAGCCTGCCTTTGCCATGGCAGCCCAGACTGCCTGCCGGACCCCGCGGACCGCGCCCCCCCCCCCCCCACCCCAGCGTCCTGGCCTGAGTCCGGGGAATGCGTTCCCGGGCCAGGCGACTTCACGGCACCGAGCCAGGGCCCTGAGGCTGTGTGCCTCACTCCCACAGCGCCTGGGCGCCATTCCTGTTAAATATGTGGGAACAAGGCGTATTTCAAATGGTCTGTTCCTTGTCTGTGTCAGAGGTGAGTCGACGTTACCAAGTGCTTGACGCCTCAAACCTTGTACCGACATGAAAAGTCCGTGTGTTGCATACTAAGGTTTTTTGCCAGATGATGTTACTTGATAAAAGTGGCTCTTTCAGTTCAGACGTTTTTCAGTACCTGTATGTTGTACATGTGGCAATTATGATCAAGTATTAGAACATGTCCAGTTAAGTAAACTACAGAAAATCGCACACAAGCAAGTCAGGCGCTATTCTGGAACTCCTTGCTTCCAGTGCCTCAGGTCAAAACCCTTGGAGTCATCCCAGCCTCCTCTGTCTCCATAACCAATACGCCCTCTTGGCTTCACCTTCGGAAACAGCCAAAGCCCTACAGCTACCCTCAGTCCACCCTACCCCCTACCTACACCCCCCTTCAAGCCACCGATATTTTTAGCCTATTTTAAACAGCGCCTTCTAGCTGATTTCCCCCATTCCATTCTTAGCCCTTTGGCATTGTCTCCCTACAGCCACTTGAGTGATCCTTTAAAAAAAGAATGTGGACTTAAAAAATAATAATAATAAGATCATGCCACTTTTCTGCTCAAAACCCTCTGGTGGCTTTCTTTCTCACTCAACCTTACTGTGATCTACAAGTCCCTGCATTGTCTGGTGCCCTATCCTAGCCTGATCAAGTCACAAGCCAGTGGTCACACTCCTACCTCAGGGCCTTTGCACTTGCTGTTACATCTGCCTGGGATGCTCTTCCCCGAGATGTCCCTCCCCACTCTCAGGTCTTAGTGAGGACTTCCAAGTGGCTCTGTTTAAACTACAAAGCTAGCCTTCAACACTCCCTACTACCCTACCCTGCATTATTTTTCTTAGCATTTATCTCCGTTAGTTTCCTAGGGCCACATAACAAAATACCACAAACCAGATGGCTTAAAACAACAGAAATTTATTCCCTCACAATCCTGGAGGCTAAAAGTCTGAAATCAAGGTGTTGCCAGGGCCGTGCTTTCTCTGAGGGCTCTGTGGGAGAAACTTACTCTTAACTTCTGGTGTTGCCAGCAATTCTTGGTGTTCCTCGGCTTGTAGGTACATCACTCCAATCTCTGCCTCCATCGGTGCATGGAGTTTTCCCCGTGTGTGTGTCTCTTCTCTTCCTATAAAGATACCATTTACATTGGGTTGGGACTCACGCGGTTGACTTCATCTTAACTTGACTACATCTGCAAAGACCCTATTTCCAAATACAGTTACATTCTACTGGTACCCAGGGTTAGAGCTTGAACGTATCTCTTTTTTTTTTTTGGTGGGGGGGGGCGGACACAATTCAACCCACTATACCATCTAATCTAAATTTTGTTTACCTTGTTTGTCATCTGTGTCCCCTCACCCCATTGGAATATAAGCTCCACAAGGAGAAGAATTTTTATCTGTCGTTTTCCCTGCTGGGTGCCAACTCAAGGATGGTGTCTGGCACATGACAGGTCCTCAGTGAACGCTGGTGGGGTGACCAATGGTCCCCTAACCGACCCAATGGGAATGAAAGCAGGAAGTTGCCTTGCCGAGCTTCCAGGAACTAGTACACGGGTTGTCGTTGTTTACTTGTTTTCAACATTTCAAGCTCCCCCCCCATGACCTCCCACTCTGTCTTTGCCTCTAGCTAATCCCCCTTAGTTTGATTCATCAGCCACCAGTCAACTTCTTGTAATTATATCCAGATTTTGATATTTATGCATTTGATCAGAAATCTTTTATGTAAATTAGAAGCAGTATATTTCTTTATGTAAATCAAGAAACAACACTGAGGGCAAAATGCAGCCTCTGAGACTCTGGGCAGGGGAAATCTTTCTCTTTGCTTATCAATTTTCACAGTAAGCCCAACATTTACCCTTTTTGGCCAAAACCCACTCTTCTCTGTCTCTCCTGATTTTAAAGGAGAGGTGATATTTGAGATTACATTATGGTTTTAGTGTTCTCACGAACAAATGGTTTCCAAAGTGTGTTTCATGGGCTTTCTGTACCAGAATCAGACATGCTGGTTAAAATGCAGGGATCTGGGGCTCATCCAATCTACTGAAACTTTCTAGAAGTGAAACCCAGGAATCAGTATTTTAAGTAAATTCCCTGAACAATTCTTAAGCACAGTAAAGCTTGAAAACCTCTGCCTAATCCAAGATTTCCAAACTCAATTGCTCACAGGAACTGACTAGGTAATATAAGTAACTGACAAAAAAATCAGCGTGTGTGTGTGTGTGTGTGTGCACGCGTGTGTGTATTAGCTACTGCTGAGTAACAAACCACCCCCAAACTCAGTAGCTTAAAATAAGTGTTTGGTATAGCTCACAAGTCTGTGGACCAACTGAGTGGTTCTGCTGATCTGGGTCAGACACAGCTGAAATTGGCTTAAGGTTACTTAGATGCTTCAGTCAGCTAGAGGGTACACCAAAGACTGGCTGATCTAGAGTGGCCACACTCACAGGGCTGGCAGTTGGCTGGCTAGCAATTGGCACACCAGGGTTGACTGGCCCATGTGTCTCTCATTACCTCTCAGGCTGGCCCCAGCTCATTCTCAGGGTGGCTGAATAGGATTTCAAGAAAGCAAACAGGCATGCATGAGGCCAGGCTGGCATGCCTTCACTTCCTCCCAATTCTATGAGCCCAAGCAGGTGACAAGGCCTTGGCAAGATTTAAGGGGTGGGAAAGTAGCCTTCACCCCTTGATAGAAGAGCTGAAGTCACATTTCAAGGGTCATGGGATGCTATGAAGGGAATAATTAGGGCCCCAGAGTGACATGAATGAGGAATGGTGGGAACAAGGGGCCCTGGAGAGCACCTGCCTGCCGTAAAGGACCACAGATGCTGCTCTCCAGCTGGCAGGAATACAGGACTCACCCAAGGTACCAGAGATGGCCTTTCTCACAGGAAACTGGAAATGCAGACGTGAGCCTGAAATGTCCTGTTTTGAAATGTCAACCTGTAGGCAGGTGCTGCTGGTTGCCCACTCAAGTCCTTTGGCCCTGCTGCCCCCCCCTCTGTTGTAGCAGGCAGAGCCCCCTTTCTGCCCAGGTGTCAGCATGGCCAGGTACACAGGAAGGGCCCACCTTCCTTGGATCAGAGGCTGAATCATGCCGCGTCTACGTCACTCCTGGGGGTCTCATTCTCCCTGCCAGCACCAATATAAGCACGACGCATGACTCTGTCCTAGAGGACAGGACCTGTGGGAAAGGCTGCTGGACACTCCTGGGAAAGTCTTCAAGGTGAACATAAAAGAGACATCCAAGAGGAAACTCCCCTCTTCACCGCTGGACACAGTTATATAGGTAGGATGCCTGGCACTGCTGCAGCCACGCTGAGGCTAGTAAAGAGAGGGGACCAACGCTCTGGGGGCCAAGCAGAATGATAGAAAGAAGATGCCCTTGGTTGCTTCACTGAGCAACAGAATCAGCCACAGCACAGCCTCCCTCTGCAGACCCCTTGGCATCCGAGGTGATGACCACCCTCACTAGTTGAGGCATTTTCTGGAGGGGTCACACTTTGCTGTAGAAATCACCTTGATACAGCAATTTAATTCAGAAAATGCTACCATACAGTGAGAGCCAGACTCGAATAGTCAGTGGGTTACATGTAGCTTATGGGTAATCTTTGGTCCCTGGGAGGCAAATAATATGATGGAGAAAAAAGAGGTGAGAGAAAACAAGAGAGCGATCCACCTGTGCTGTGCCCTAGTGATTCTGTGTTCGTGAGCAGAGGTTTCCTTCAAAGAGCTATATTCCTGCAAAGGTGAGTGCTGGACTTTTTGAAAGTTGCAAGCACTGGGGCCACACATTAAAGGAAATCTAGAATATATATATATATATATGTATAATGGAATCACTTTGCTGTACAGCAGAAACTAACACAACATTGGAAGTCAACTATACTTCAATATTTTTTTTAAAAAAAGGAAATCTTGGAAGTGAGCATTTTGGTATAATAAATGACCTTCCTCTTATCATTAATTATGGAAATTTTCAGATTTATACAACAGTAGAGAGAGTCTATATAATGAGCCCCTGTATACCCATTACCCAGATCCAGTAATTATCAACTTGTGGTCAACTGTGTTCACTCATATCCTCACCCACTTTCTTCCCTTCCAAATACGTTGAAGCAAATCCCAGCTAATATATCATTTCATCCATTATATTTCAGTAGGTATTTCTAAGTTATAAGCACACTTGCTTTAGAACAAAACTATGATATTGTCCCATCAAGGTAGTAATAATAATGTCTTGATATCATCAAACGTCTGATCCATAATATAATGAATATCTTTGATTATCTTACAAAAATTTTAATAGGTTGTTTTTTCCCCAAAGTTCTATATATTGCAATGGTTGATTTGTATCTTCCCAGGTTTTTAATCTATGATTTCTCCCTCATCTTTTTCTCTTTTCTCCTGCAAGGGTTGAGGGGGTTACCGTCTGTTGTTGAAGAATTTGGTTCCTTTGTCCCACGGTCTGGATCTTGCAGTTGTATCTCCCTGTGGTAACATCTAACGTGTTCCCTGTCATCTCTCTTTTCTGTAAATTGGTCTGTTGGATCTAGAGTCTTGATCACATTCGGCTTCGGTCTTTTTTGGCAAGTGTGACAACGGCGGAGGTGGATCTGTGTCCCTCAAGTGCCTTTGATGAGCATCACCTAAGACCCTCCGTCCATTATTCCACCAGGGCGGGTGGAATAACAGCACAGCCGTCCCAAGACGCCCCTTCCCACCTGAGATGCAGAAGATGCCATGCAGATCGTCCAGTCTAACTCCTCACAACCCCGGATGAGGACTCTGAGGCTTTCCTGAAACCCAGACTTCTAATCTTCTGGCCCAATCAGGTCGACTGGAGTGGGGGGCTCAGCAGAGCAAGTCCTGGCAGTTAGACCCCATAAGAATTAACTTCAATATGTCACGCAAATATGACATAACGGAATACGGAAGGAGT